CTCACTGTTTGTGGCTCACTGATTATGTTAGGTTGGCCACCAGCAAGTCCCTGGGGTCTGCCAGTCCTTGCCTTCTCAGCTCCGGGATTATAAGCAGGTGCCACCTTACTATCACGTGTGACATTTTTATGACTGAACTCAGGGCCCCGTGCCAAAGCAGAACTACTATACTCACTGGCCTATCTCCCCAACCGTCTCCACTGTTTAGTCCAATGATTGGTGATACTGATTAACTTCTCGTGTGCTTACTTTTTATTGGTATTTTTTGACTCGAATCTTTTGCCTATTTAAAAATCACTTATTTATTTACTAGTGATTTACAGTTTATCTCATACCCTGAATTTAAATTCTTCATAAGATACATACACATTTTCTCCCAGTCTCTTGCTTATCCTTTAATTTGATTTATGTCTTTAAAAATAATTATGGATTTTTCTACATATAAAAATTCAATTTTTCAAATATATAACTCAATGACTTTCCATTTTTCCTCAACCTTACCCAAATAATTATTAACTTATTTTCACCTTTATATCTTAACCTTTACAGGATATTTTCTAAGTGAAATTGGGTAATACATAATTACTCAGATCCAGCTTCTTTCACCGAGCATGCTCTAAGGTCTATTTATGTCACAGCCTGTGACAGGACGTCTGCTCCCTTCTCTTGCTGAGTGACAGCCCACAGTGTAGGCACACACATAGTGTCATTTAAAAGCAAACATTTTAATTCTTTCCCAAGGGGAATGAAAGCGCATGTTCAGCCATGTTCTCGCACTCAGGTTCGTGGTTTTTATCCACAATGCCATAACACTGCAAACAGCACATATTCCCATCAACTAGTTCAAATATAAATATTTGTATGATGTATAAGTATGTTCAAAGACTACTTAGGAATAGGGAAACCTTAATACCTTGATTCATATGCATTATACATGGAAAAAAACTCAAACATTAGTTAAATAGAATAATTCACAGAAAACGTTACAATTTATACTTCCAATTATAAATAAATCTAGCAAATATGAAGTTAAGATTATAGAGAACAGACAGAGACTACCAAGGATAGCAAGTGGAAAAAAAATAAACTGAACTGCCAGGTTGATTGGCATTTACATCACTGTCCTGGTGATGGAAGCATGATGATTTGCATCAAACTTTTAAAAACTGTATGAAATTAAAACCTCAATAGTGCCGAGCTTTCAAGATACTAGTGTGTGCAGCAGGTATGTGACTCCTGCCGCAGTTCCCAGCGACCTGGAAGGCTGAATGCGGCGGATCACTGGAGCTGTGTTCAGTGTCCAGCTGGACAACAGAGAGACCCCCAGCTCAAAGGGTAACTAACAGATAAAAAAAAAAGATTAAATGAGGGGAGGAAATGGCTCACTGGATAAAGCACGTGCTGTGCCAAGTATGAGGACCCAAGTCTGGGTCCTCAGAGCCCACGTAAACGCCAAGTGAACATGGTGCCTGCCTGCCTGCAAGACCAGTGCTCAGAAGGCTGAGAATTACCATGAGCAAAGGCAAGTGAGGAGGAAAGCATTTCTTTTAGCTTACAGGTTACAGCCTATCACTGATGGATGTCAGGGAAAGCTCAAAGAGGATCTTGAAGTCAACAAAGAGGCATGCTGTTTGCTGGCTCCCTCCCAGGCTGGTGCTTAGCTAGTTTTCCTGTATTGCCCAGTACCACCTGCCCACGTAACTATCAAGAAAATGCCCCAGACATTCCCACAGGCCATCCCCAAAGCAAGTTAGATAGACAGTAGCATACTCAAGCTCTGGGTGCAACTGAGAGACCCCGTCTCAACTAATAAGGTGGAAATCAATTGAGGAAGATTGCCATCAGTCTCGGACCTCCACAGATGAGTACACATATCTGCACACACACACGCATCCACACACATACAAATGTGTATACACACACAAACACAGCAATGTAATGAGTTCAGTGTGGCTCGGTTAGCAGAGGGCTTGCCCAGTAGCATGTCTCTAACATCGGCTCTTGGGGGGGCAGAAACAGGAGGATCATAACTTTAAGGTCATCTTCAGCTACATAAAAAGTTCAAGGTTAGTCTGTGCTACATGAGACCCAGTCTCAAAAACACACCAAAGAAAAAAATGAAAAGAACCCACACAGGAAGAAGCGAAGAAATAAATAAGTACATGTCCATTTTCCTCTAGTTCTGACGAAGACTATAACTTCTGCCAGGTTTTGTCTGTTCTAGTACTTAGGAACATTTCTGGGTATAATAAAAGTCTAGAAATTCAGTTATGAATGATCAGATGATCAGGCCTTTATTTCATTTTTTTTAAATATGGAAGTTAAGTAAAAGTTTCATAGAACAATGTGATAAAAAGCATAAGAATTCCAACTTCCAGATGGACTAATAAGTTCCTGTGGAGAAAGCCCATGATGCTCAGAGACACAGAAAAAGAGAGCGACTGCTGTGTACAGGCGAACAGAGGGCACAGTAGACAGATCATAAACCATCTGTTGAGTGTTTAAGGAAAGAAGGAAGGATTAGCTCTCACGATGTCATGTCATTTATGCATTGGCGTATGTGTTTTCTGGAGCCACATGAATAAAGACAAACACCATCATCAAACTCTCTGCTCTAACGTGACGCTCACGTGAGCCCATTTCCATCTGCCCTAGGGAGTTAACAGTGAATCCTCTTTCTCCAGTCCTGAGAAGGCTGTGGATGGATTTCTCAGGACTATGGGACAGTGGAAAAGGGCAGAAATGGGAGTCTCCTCTGTGTACAGTTGAGGAAAGCAACTGACCCGATGCTGCATCGTCCACCTCCGCCTTTGCCTCGGGCTTCCAGGGCCACTCTCTATACTGTGTGAAACTGTCCATCTCATGTGCTGAACTTTGAGTAGATCTCTTTAAGATCCTACTTCAAACACATTAAAGAATGTGTAGAAGGAAAACTAACCAGATTCTACGATTCTTAACCAAAATAATGAATAAATAGTCTGACAGTATCAAATATATAAGAACTGTTAAGGTCCTAACCCTGAGGATTCCACTTTTGCAGTACACTTTCCAAACTGTCTTCTGATCACACAGAGATATTCACATATTTTCTCCCTCTATCAGGAGCATTGAACTGTGAGGTCCAAAAACCATCCACAAAACTAGAAAAAAAAAAAAAAACACTCAAGCCAACACCCTGGAACTTGATGTCACAGCATGTTTGCTGAGTACCATTGAGAGCCCGAGGTCATTAACCTCCTGTGTTCTCACCTGCAGACCACTTATGGCTTCTATACCCATCTCAACTAAGTGCTCATCAAATGAAAGGAACAGCCAATCTTTTCTCTAAGGTTTTGGTGGTTTATTTTTATAACATATGATATAGGATTCCAAAGAAATTATAAACTTCTATCATAAATAATAAATTTCAAATGTTGAATATTCTCTTCATCGCACAGAGAGAAATACGTCCATGTAGTATTATAGACTAGAAAATAAGGGCGAGTTGTTGGGAGTTAACAGAAGGAGCTAGAAGATAATGACTACACTGAATCCCTTGGGGAAGCAAGAACGGCCCTAGGAATTAAAAGAGGGGATTTCTTCCTCACTGTTGTTAGCCAGGCGAGACCTAGACATGGAGACTTGGTCCTCCACAGCTGTAATGCCCTGGCAACCAAAAGGATGTTCTGTCTCACTGCCCCATGAGACTGGAAACAACCATTGCTCGCTGTAAAGCAGGCAGTCTGCAACGGAGATAAGCAAAGGTCATCGGTACGGTTCACAGCCAGTGAACAGTTCTGGGCAGCCATGGTCATTTCTTAATCTGGATGTCCACGGGAAATTTTCATTTTCCTTATGCATTATTTGGAAAATCAAACTATGTCTGTAGAAAGTAGAAGTAACTGTTAAGAAGAGGGACAGGAGCTAGAGAGAGGGCTCAGTAGTTAAAAGTGCTTGCTGCTTGACTCAAATTCAGTTCCCAGCACCTACATGGTGCAGGTCACAGGTACCCATAATCCCAGCCTCAGGGGATCCAATGCCTTCTTCTGGCCTGTGTAGGCACAAAGATACATGTGCTGTAAACATGTACACATACATAAAAATAAGTATTTTGAAGGGAAGGATATTTTTCCAATGCCCTCAGCTACACTTTAGTGACAGGCCAGGGTCTCTTTTCAATAGCAACAGTGCATTTTTAACCAAGTGAAGCTACTGTTCACACAGCAAGCTTTCGGCAAGTCCACATGCTAGAACTGGTCAAACAAACTCTCAAGACCTGCAGATGGTTATAAACACATGGTCTGTGTCCCATGTGATCTTGGGCTACTTGATCTGTACCAGGCTGGCATCACTTTCTCTAGCTCTTGCTCATAGCAGAGTCCACCACAGAAACTACCCATGAACATTTGCTTCCTGTTGTCAGAACACTAGTACAGTTTTAATACGAGGCTGGAAGAACTTTCTATAAAATTAAGCCAAGAAAAAAAGTTTACTATTTTCTGAGAAACCAAATTAATGTTCTGTTATGATTTCCTTATGCATGGGAAGAAAGGGCAGCTACACCACTTAATTTAAGCTATGCTATGCAGAGGCATTTGGTCTGTTCCTTAATGAGACACTTCGGATATTTTCCAGGCATTCTAGAATAATGGCTCATCTTCAAGAAGAAGATTTGTCTAGCACTGTCCCTTTGGGAATTTGCCATTAGTAGTGCTAATTGTATAAATCAATACAATTCATGGTTAAATTTCTATATACACCTGTACCATCATGGCCGTCTACCCTACTCACCCTGTCTCAACTCTGTTTTATTTTTACTGTAAAACACTCAATCGTATTCACACCTCTAATTCTGCAGCTTGCAAATAATATTCATGAGCATTTTATTGCATAGGTTCCACCCAAATCTGCAGCCTCTGAACAAGAGAATCAATATGGATCATATCTTAGACTTGGCCATGGTAAAATTAGCAAAGAAAGGGGAGAGGGTTGGAAAGGGAAGAAACATAAGTGCCACTTACTTTTCAAAGAAGTATCTGACGATCATCAAGAGAAGGGCATATGGAATCGTCATGTACAAATGGGAAGCTTTAACAAAGACGAGCCCGTCATGATCTTCAAGATCTGACCACTTTATTGTCGGAGGAAGCCAGAATTTCTCCAGCCAGAACCAGTCTTTAAACTTCTGAAACATTCTAGACAAATGAAGAAAAGAGCACATTAGACTCGTCAAATCAGCACTTGGAATTGTAATAATGTTGAGCGCTGTCCTTGAAAACACCTAAAGCGGGATTCTGGGATTCCGAAAATAACAAAGGGAGTATACTAACTCCCACGGTCCTCTGCTGCATCTAACAAGAAAATCTCATCCCGTGCTCCCAGAAGTGCTTGGACTATGGAGTGGAAGCCTGAAACTTTACATACTCTCCTTCATAGTTCAGGAAGCACACAGGCGGGCAGTGCAGATATTTATTTTCCACTAATATCACTCATGATATAGAAATGATTCAATAGGTTCTACAATTTCAAGGTATTGAAAGTCAATGCCCTGAAAGCTCCAATGTGTGTATAAAATTTGACTAGCACCCTAAAAACATTGCCTGGGAAACAAGGGACAGGAGTTCAAAGGAGATCATGGCCATAATCTTTCTATTTTTATTTTTATTTTGATGACAGTAGGGACTGAACTGAGGACTTTATTCATGTTAGGCAAAGACTGTACAGTGGGATTCGTCCTCAGACTTCGGTCATGCTAGGCAAGGATTCTACAGTGAGATTCATCCTTAGCCCCCTTGTCACTTTGAAGCTAGTTCTTACTAAGTTGCATAGATCAGCCTTGTTCTCATTTTGTTGCTCAAGCAGGCCTTGAACCTGTGGATCCTCCTGCTTCAGCTTCCTAACAGCTAAGATTACGAATCCTTGCCATCGGGCACGGCTCTGTGTTAATAATTATATCTATGGGAACTTGGTCATGGCTCCACGATAATAATTATATCTATGGGGACTCCATTATCTGTGAGGCACTGCGCTAGGTGGTGGGTGCATAGCAGTTAATAGCTAAGACTCCATCTTAAGAACCAAACAGCATTGTAGGTAAGGCAAGTCTGACTAAAGTAACTTTAACACATATTTTTAGGTACCCATAAAAATTATCCAATTCCAAGGTGTTATTTTTGTTTCATCTTACTTTGTAAATTATATTATTATACCTTAGAAGCCTGTTCTTTTTTAATGAGAGGCAGAAAGGGAGTGGAGGGGAGGGGAGGTGGAGAGGACCTGGGAGGTGTAGAGGGAGGGGAAACCATCATGAGCATATATTATTTGACTCTATTTAATTTTCAATCAAAGGAAAAGGAAAAAAAAGGAAAGAAACCTAACTAAAAAAGGAAGAAAAAACTACAAGGTTCTGAGAGGCAAAAACGGACACTGGGCCCAGTAAGGGTAAGTCCTAGAAAGATGGCTGAGCAGGAAGTTGAGTGAACTGGAGAAGGGAGAATAACGGGAGAGGAACAGCAAGCAGCACTGAAATGCAACTTGGATTCTGTCGCTTCCCTTTGCTGTTCTAACAACCAACCCAGAGACATCTGTGACCACAGAGTGCAAACAAGCATCCCTCTCCAGCAGCAAGCATCCCTCTCCAGCAGCAAGCAGATGGCTTTGCAGCACTGAACACCTGCTGGGCGACCTCTCACCCAACTCAAGTCTGAAATTACTGTGGGCTCAACCCCAAATCTGCTGTCTCCCTCGCAGGTCAGATGTCAGCCTCAAGCCCCAGGTTATTTGACTTGTGCTTTTTGACAACTAGCTACACATCTAGGGGCACACAAAACCCACCAGGCTTGGGAAAGATGGACTTACATTGGTTTATTATCAATGATGCAGAGAAGACATGTATTGGACAAAGCATGTAGGAGGGGCACTAAGCATCTATGCTCTCCATGTGGAGCTACCTGAAGCCCTTGGAAATCTGCCCTCTGTTCTTACTGAAACTTCACTGTGTAAGCATGAGTAAGCCATTTGGCCACTGGAAAAGAATTCAACCCCAAGCCCCTTGGCCCTTCCCAGAAGTTGAAAGGTATGACTGATGACCAAACCCTTGAATCCTGCCTTGGTCTTTCTTGGGCCCTGCCTAGTGCATCAACTATCCATCAACTTATTAGCATATAAGAGCATATTGCCATTTTAGAGATTTCAACAATTTCCTGTTTGCCAAGAAATGTGTAATTCATGACATCACCAGCATGTTTTAACCTCACCATTGAGGGCCATTTTGATCCTAGCATTTTGAAACTGAGACTGTTTTGATTTTTTTCTATAAATATTTAGCCAGGAACACAGGTCACACTGTCTTTAGATTTCACAACCTTATGCCCAGTGTTGAGAGGGACACCAACCCAATCAGAATCACACCTGCACAGCCATGCCCTTGGAGAAAAGTGACTTTGTGTATGGATTATCATTCCACTATACTTTCTAACTAGAACTGACAATTCATGCAAATACAGTTGAATATTTCCACCAATACCTGTACATTCTCTGTTGGGGTTGGGGGCTGAAAAGAAGGAAGGGATGAGGGAGTGATGCTTGAATTCAGGGAGATTACAACCCAGTCAAGAGTTGATGTGGTCTGAACCAGGCAAGGGTGGTGACAACTGATAAAGCAGCTGGGGCTGGGCAGTGGTGATGGGATGTCAACAACCTATTCGGTAAAGTAACTGAAGAGTCAAGCTTGGTTGTAAAGACAAACATATCTTTTAAGAAGTTTGCCTTGGCAGCTTTATGGCATTATTAGCCGTGATAATAAGAAAAATACCAGGGCTGGGAGCAAATAGCAATGCTGTAAGTTAGGTATTTTCCAATATTGTTTAATAATCACTACATAAAATAAGTTGTTCGCTCCTATAACACAACTCAAAGCAACACAGATTTTTCTATCTTGGGAGAAGCAGCTTATAAATTACACAGGAGTAAATTCTTGCAGTGACTTCAGGGCTATCGAAAATAATAGTAACTCTAATTTCCAGTAATGCAAAATAAAGACAGCCAAAAAAAGAGACAACGTAACAGAAGTCAGAAAGGATGCAGAAGACAGACCCTGAAAAACAACTCAAACTTAGAAATGAAGCTAAATCAATCCATACTATGCACTCTTTTTTGGGTGTTGCTACCAAACATCAGTGACAGCAGAATCAGGGGTCTTAGAGCCCTTTGTTCATATCAAGGACAAGAAGGACTCAAAACTATCTAAATGTAGGAGCCAGAGTTATACAACTCTTAGAATAAAATGTTGGCATGAATGAATCTTGGTGACCTTGTCTCAGGCCAGGCCTTTGGAGATGGCACCCAAAGCATAAGCAACAAGAGAAAAAGTAGATCAAAATGGATCACAATTAAAGACTTCTGTGCATCAATACATACCACCAAGAACATGAGTAAAGAACCTACAGAACAGGGAGAGTGTCTGAAAAATTTGTCTAATAAGGGTATCTTAGTCAGGGTTTCTATTACTATGACAAAACACCATGACTAAAGAGCAAGTTGGGGAGGAAAGGGTTTATTTGGCTCACACTTCAGCATTGCTGTTCATTACTGAAGGAAGTCAGGACAGGAACTCAAACAGGGCAGTATCCTGGAGACAGGAGCTGATGCAGAGGTCATGGCAGGATGCTGCTTACTGGCTTGCTACCTCTGGCTTAGTCACTCTAATGTCTTATAAAACCCAGGGCCAGCAGTCCAGGGATGAGACCACCCACCATGAGCTGGGCTTTCCCCATTGATCACTAATTGAGAAAATGCCTTACAGCTGGATCTCAGGGAGGCATTTCCTCAACTGAGGATCCTTCCTCTGATGGCTCTAGCTTGTGTCAAGTTGACACACATAACCACCCAGTACAAAGGGATTAACATTTCAAATATACAAAAATCCCTTACAACCCACTAATAACAAGACAAATAGCCCATCTTTGTAAAGAATCTGAATAAACATTTTACCTGAGACACACAGGTGACCAATAAGCACAAGAAGGGATGCACAACGTTATTGGCCATGAAAGAAAAAGAAACTCAGTCACTTCACAGCACTGGGTGTGATAATGAAGTCTGATAAACACGGATAGGCCATAGAGAGATGTTCCTGCGTGTGCTCCAAGGGGGTGCTGATGGGGAAGACAGTCTTTAGAACATCAGAGAGTGCATGGGACCTGAAGTCAGTCATTCCCAGCTAGCAGGAGATTGAAAAGATTGAAGTTACAATGTGAGTGACTCTTGAAGACTTAGGCAAAAGGCCAGACACAAATGGATATATGAGCTCATGGATATGAAACATTCAAAATAAACAGCTCCATAGAGACAGAAAGCAGGTTAGAGATGCCTTGGGGTGGAGCAGGGGTGGCATTACCAGTTTGAGGGGATTGGAAGTGATTTCTGAGGGAGGAGTTATGACAATTCTTTGAGAGTAATGAAATATTCCAAACCTGTGCTACTACACAGCAGAGAATACACAAAAAAGCATTTAAGTGCACACTTTAACTGTGTAATATGTGAAATTTACATCAAAAACCAAACCAAACAAAAAAAGAATAAAATACCTTAGGCAGGAAGATTTCAAGTTCAAGGCCAACCTAAACTGTATAGCCTCAAAAGAACGGTATTCAACTTCATATGGAAAAGCAAATGACCCAGGATAGCCAAAACAATCCTGTACAATAAAGGAACTTCTGGAGGCATCACAATCCCTGACTTCAAACTCTACTACAGAGCTACAGTACTGAAAAACAGCCTGGTATTGGCATAAAAACAGACAGGAGGACCAATGGAACCAAATCAAAGACCTGGATATTAATCCACACACTTTCAAACACCTGATTTTTGACAAAGAAAAAATATAATGGAAAAAGAAAGCATATTTAACAAGTAGTGCTGGCATAACTGAATATAAACATGTAGAAGAATGAAAAGAGATCCATATCTATCACCATGCACAAAACTCAAGTCCAAATGGATCATAGACCTCAACATAAAGCCAACAACACCGAACCTCATAGAAGAAAAAGAGGGAAGTACACTTAAATGATTGGCACAGGAGAGCACTTCCTAAATATAACCCCAGTAGTACAGACACTGAGATAAACAAATAATAAATGAAACCCCAGAAAAGCTTCTGTAAAGCAAAGGACACAGTCAACAAGACAAAACG